AAGAGTCCTTCTGTAAATATTGTTGGAGTTATTAATTGGAAAGGTCTACCCGCCTGACTTAAGGTGGTTGACAGCATTTATGCTCCCAGGGCCCAAGTGTGGATGAGAGCAGTTAGGTGGCACAGCGAAGGAGGAGGGGCTGATTGCAGCCTACAGATCTGAAATGCAGCTGGATTTATTAATTTACTGTGATAAACATGAGGTAGCAATGCAGACCCCAGTCTAAGGTGACAGGTTCCTGGGGCCAGGTGGCTTTAGCCAAAGGGCAGTGAAAGTGTATTGTAGAGGTGGTGGCTATGAGAGACAAAATCCCATTGGATATTCCTCGTACAGAAGACAACATGGGGTCTTTTATGGTAAGAAGGAATCAAAACTGCAGAAGGGTTTTTGACAGCTACTATAACCTGAAAGTTATGTTTTGTGTTATCAGTGTGTTGTGCCACTGGCTAGTGACACCTTCCAGGAGCAGGCACCTCACCACGGGCGTACGATCAAGTGCCGACCCCACAGCACTGGTCTGACGTCCTGGCCGCTGCTGGGGTCTGCATGCCGATGACTGGGCTGGGAATTGTCTCTGACAAACTCTGTGAGCACACTCTGCCATTAAATTTGGAAAAGCCTGGGGAAGGGTGGCTCTGTCGCCCTTCACATTTTTCCTGCAGGTGCTGTAGAAGACAGTCTGGGACGTTACGGTCGCATACCATCAGATTTTTTTATGAGCCTTGTTACTTCCAAGAGCAGAATATATTTCAGCAGCCTTAAAATGCCAGCACTTAGTATAATGGCTGGGTCATTCTGCAGCTATTGCCAGAAGCCTAATTGCCCGTTTGGAAGAAAAAATAGATGTATCATTTTATGAAGGGTTGTGATGGGGGTGTTTTTTACCTGCAGGTGAAAAATGATGAGTGTGTTGATTTGTTACTGTCATTTGCTGCTTGTGCATTTATCAGCACTGATTTGATCTGGTTTACTCTTTGTTTGAGGAGCTGCTGGCTGGTAATAACCTGTAATATCTTGCTTTTCTCTGCTGTCTGTTAATTATTCATGTACTTCCTTTCCTTCCGTGCATGCGGTCAGGTGCAGGCGGTGTCTGTGAGCGTGGCACGCGTCTGCTGTGTGCCAGAGGCCTTGTGTGCTTTGGGTAAAAGAAAAAAAGCGGTTGTGCATGATGTGTCATGGGCTTATAGTCATTATAAGTCGGCAACATGAAATGATTAGTCATGTTTTCTTCTCAACTGCCAAAGACAGTTCCCGAGTTTCCAGCCTGTCTCTTTGACAAGTTTACATTTCCTCTGGGTAAGGAAGCTGGAGTGACGTGGAGCCCAGCCCCGGCCCAGCCAGGTCCCTGCTGTCCCCGCTGTGGTGTGGGAGCCCGTGGGCTCCTCCAGGCTGCCCGCCCGAGCCTCTGAGCAGGGTAAAGCCCAGTTAGACTCGTCTTCTAGCAGAGGAGACGGTGTAACTGCAGTAATGCCAAATTACAAATTTGGAGTTAGATGCAATCCTGGTACAATCTGAGGGCGTTAAAATGCCTGGCAATGCCACGCCTGTGCAGTCAGCCCTGCTTCATTGACCTGGCCTCCTGATTTTGCTGCTCTCAACTTTCTCGGAAAGGGCTGGCTAACAGCACAACCTTCCTTTTAATGCTGGGGTGCCTCCTTCTTAAGAACAAAGCATAAAGATTTTAAATTTTCCTTGCAATAACTGTCGTCTCTTTGAGGCAGTGAGATAAAAGGCAGATATGCAAAATACCCCAAACAACCACTCCCTGAGTTGTGAAGACCTGACAGCACACCGGTAGCCTTGCTGCACTTGTGAAGTTACCTGGTTTGGGGTTTCTGTTATTTTAGAAGGTAAATAATAGGTGTGTTCCATATTAAAAAGCGTCTGCTTTTTAATATGAGCAGTGGTTATAAAACTTCATAGCATGGTTGTGTTTGTGCACCCAGAACTGGGCCATGACTGGTAGTGCATGGGAGTAAGCCCATGCCATAACAGAGCTGATGGAGCTCCTGGAGCAAGCTGGGCTCAGGTCAGGAGCATCGTATGGTGGCTTCAAATGCACCCGTGTGCTTTCCAGATACCCTTATCGCTCCAAAGCAGGGTGCCGCGATCCAGCTGCTAGGATTGGTGGGGCTTTTTTTGTGTATTTTTTTTAAATTTAGTAGCTGGAGCACAATTGCGCACTGGTGGGCGATGTCAGTGCGAAGTTTCGCTTCTCTGGTCTACCAGAAGCCTGAAGGCAGTTCCTTGCGTGGTGTGGGCAGAGATTTCTCAGAGTTGGAGGAGAGATGAAAGATTCTGGAAGAGAACAGTGAGATACTGGAAGTTACTTCTGCTCTGCTTTTATTGAGCTGGTGCTGAGTTTCATAACCACTTCTCAGAAAATTTTAAACCTTGCACCCCATCCTAAACACTGAAGTGAATTTGGAGGAGGTGAAGGTAGGGGAAGGGGAGGAAGCAGCCTGCTTCATGGGTGCTTCTTCAAAAGGGAACATCCCATAGGATGGAGAAGCATCTTGCAGATGCCCGAGCCAGGCACAAAGCCTGACCTTGGCAGGCACAGTGTAGCAAGAGCTGAAGAGGCCAAAAGCATCGTCTCATTCTCTTTTGGCTTAGATGGGAAGAAAACATAGCCAGCTCTGAAATCTCAGAGAGGCTTTTGCTCCATAATATAACACACGGTGCACCAGCACATGGGTTTCAGATAGCAGCAAAAAGCCCTGGATACCACTGGTGATGTTTTAATGAGTCCATGTAAATGAAGAGTGCCGCGAGGACATGCAGTGCTCCCGACTGTTCAGAGAATGATCTCGGCTTAAATGCAGTCCTCAGTTGGTCACAGTTAACTTCCCTTGTGTAATTGCTGCTGATACAGTTCTGCATGCTGCCTGTGCAGGGATTGGTAATGACAGGGCAGCAACAGAGCGAGAAGCAGGGAAGGAGATGACACTTTGAGCCTGTTTTTATTTTCCTTTATATACTCATTGTGTCGGATCCTTGTCATGCTTTTAGCACTTGCTGTGGTTCATTGTTTGAATGTCACAGTGCTATTTGAAGTTTAATTGCTCTACTAGCTGCAAGACCCTGGTTTAATTCGTGTTTTTTTAAGTTAGCAGAAGGTACAGAGTTGTCAGTGACACTGGGAGTCACTACAAATCATGTAGCTGAGGCAGAACAAGGAGGCAGAAGCTGCACTGTGGCACTTCATTCCCCAAAAAGTATTTGCATGAACAGACACAACAGTATCCTGGTCCTCACCTCAGCCTTTGTGGATGCCAAGGAGTTGATTTGAAGAAGAGAAGTTTGATCTCAGCTGTGAATCAGATAATGTGGAATTTCTTGCACAGCAGCGTGTCAGGGCAGTGTGTTTCTGACAGTGCGCTAAAAACCTGCCTCCAGAGCAAACCATGGAAAAGCGAGGCATTAGAAACGTGGAAATAATGTGGTGTTTGTATAAAAAGTAAGAATGTCACTGAAATTCTGTTGTGTCTGTAGAGTTGCAGCTCTCTGTGCGGTATCAATAGCTGTGTGTTCTTGTCTGAAGAGGGTGACACTGGCACTGGAGAAGTTATTAGTGCGTGATGGTCACACTGGGAGGTTTTCCTGAACCCTTTCCTGTAAATGGTGTTCGCGCTGCACAGATAAAGAAAATGGACATGGTATAGAAAAGGCAAGGGCTGTGCCAAGATGGAGTTCATCATGCCAAAGTTTTCTGGCTCTTTTCCTTCACTCTTTTGTTTATCTTCTCTAAATTGCAGGGCACAAAGGGCTGATCATCATGTATTTTCTGGTAGCAAAATACCATAAAACCTATGTGTTTGCTTTAAATGGGGAATGTGGTGGGGCTGATGGTGTTTTGGTTTTGTTTTCTGTGCTGCTTGGTTATAAAGTGCTGTACTGACATTTTAACACGCATTTCAGACACGGTCATAGACATTCTCTTTCTAAATCTGATAAGGGCACAGTAACCTGTGAAACCAGTCTGTGCCTGTATCTTAATCCAGGGACTGTAGACAAGCAGCTATGGGGAAGGCTCTGCTCCTGCAAAATCCATTGCTGCCAAATTGGAAATGGTGCCTAAAACAACGACGAGACTGGAGTTGTGTATTTGCGGAGGTTTGGGTCAATAGGAGAAGACATGTTTTATTTGTATGGGTGTTTGAGTGTACGTACTGCTTTAATACACTTTCTCCCCACTCCTGTGTGAAGTGAAGGTAGAAATCCTTCCCTAAAAACTTCATGGCTCTTTGGCAGAGATGCTGTTCCTGATGTTCCAGTTCTGTTTCAGTCTGGGCAGTTTCCAGTGGGCAAGTTGCTGAAGTCTCCCGGGAGACAAAAGCCAACAATAACTTTTTCAAGGGTTGGGTGACATTAGGGCCAAACCACTCCAGCTCAGCCAGCCCCCGTTTTGCCTGGATGGCTGCCTTCTCCCCATCCCATCCCATCCCATCCCATCCCATCCCATCCCATCCCATCCCACCTCCGGTGCTGAGCAGCAGACAAAGGCCAGCCCAGTGTACATAATTTGAACCCAAATTTATGTCTTTTTGCTGTTCTACATCAGAGAGAACCTCTCACTATGAAATAGATGTTTACATCAAAAAAATTATAAAGCACATCAGTTTCGAATTCCATAATCTGACTTCATAAGTGATAGAAGATTAATCTTCAGTGATTTAACAACCTTAGGACTGTATTTGGTTAAATATCTATCAGTGCTTGACATCCAAATAATTTAGAACCTTCTCCCTTTGGAAAGAGAGAGGCAGCACGAGTGACCAGCCAGGAGTTCAGATGTGAGTAATGTTAAGTGGATGGGTGTTTGAAAGCACGTGGCCGGGTTGTGTTTCCCTAGTAGATAGTTCAGCTTTCTAAAATTACGTGACGGTGGTAATTATCTTTTAACTATTTAACCACTGTTAGGAAACTGAAATTTACAGAATTTAAAAATGACTTGCTGATTAACTGCTGTGCTTTGTTCTTTGTATTGTTATCTCTAGATCAGTCGTATTGTCATCGGCTGCAACACGACACGTATTTTCTTACAAGCAATAGCCGACTGAATGAGCAAGTGGTTGATAAAATTATTCTCCAGCTTAACAGAGTCTACCCCCAAATTCTTACCAATGCAGAAGCAGAAAAGGTAATTTGATGAATTTTACTATATCTCTGAATGTTGCATTGTTTTTGCAGGTCAGTAGCTCAGCTTCCCTCTTCCCGACTTGACTCTTGGTGCCACATGCGGCCAGTCTTCCTCACCTTGCACTTGCTGACCAGTTGTATCTGGGATCTCTTGTCAGAGGAGAAGTCACAGGGCTGGCTCCCTGTGCCAAGTGGCTGTGAGAGAGGACACTCTCCTCAGCAGCAGCCCAGTGTCACCGTCCCCGCCGTGACGTCCCATGCCATGTGAGCAGGAATCTTATAGCACCCATCGTGTGACCTGACCCCGCGTGCCTGCCTCCTCACATGAGGTGGTGCGGAGTGCTGTGTCAGATGATCTGTGCTGCATCCAGCTGTGTCCACAAAATCCTCTAAAATAGCTTAATCAGTTTTTGTTGCTGATTAATGTGGTTAATAACTCTGAGTATTGGGAGAGAAGGGGGGTATTTGTTCCACCTGTAAGTGTGGGGGCTGTGGGAAGTGGATGGAGTTAGTAACATCTTTCAGTGGTGCTGCTGAAGGCCACCCTCCCTGGCATGAAGCTTTCAAAAATAGGTAGCTGTTTTTAGGAAGAAAGCTCTTTTAAACTGGTGTGAAGCGAAAGTGAAAGTCAGTTAAAAGCTTCCCACATCCTACTTAAAACAGTTTGTACTTGCCCTCTGCTGACTTCACTGTCTGCACTAGGCTCAGGGTTTTGGTACATCAGTATTTTAATATTAGGAAGAATAGGTCTAATTCTCTCATAATCAAACCCCAAACTGGGGATGAATAGTGTTTTGGTGGTTTAGAGCAGCGCTAGATCATCAGCTGAACCAGTCTAGCCACTCGGTTACGATAAACAGTGTGACATGCACAATTAAAGACCATCTCACTCCCTCAAGAGCTTCAAAATAAATGCATAAAAAATCTGTGAAACATAATTGGTGACTTCTGCACTTAGCAGACAGAAATTAACTGCTTTCTCATAGGTCCAGGCAAGTTTCTGTCAGCTCTACTGGGTGCTTAGGAGGCTTACAATCTCAGCTGTATCCCGCAGACCTAGTGGGAATTTTGTGGGAATTATATAAAACAAACTCCGTATCTTTACTCCCTGGCATACTGTAAAGTGATCTAAAATTGATCTCCAGCTGTTGTAATCTCTCTTCTGATGGGTGCTTTTCTCTTACAGTTCAGGAATCCAAAGGCATCACTCCATACCAGACTTTCAGATCTGATAAAGCACCTTCAGAAGAAAGGAGACAGACACTGTCAGGAGTTTTACAGGGCTCTACAGATCAATGCTGAACAGCTGTATAATGACCTGCCAAGCAGGAAAATCTTGAGTAAGTTGATTTGTAAGTTGTCTGAGTTGTGAATTTCCTCATCCGTGTATTACAAAACCTCATTCAGATGAGTTTTAGGTTATTTAAATAACCTGTTTATGTTATTTAAATAATTTTGGGGTGTAAAATAGTTCCTTCTGACTGGAATTTTCCAAAAGCCGTGAGGGGATTTGACTGCATAGTTCTTGTTATTTGTTGACTAGTGTGGGCAGTCTAAAACTCATTGTTTTGAAAGATGAAATATGTCTTTAAAACAGTTTAGATGCAGCATGTAAGACAGCAATATAACTCCTATAAAGTACAATTCTTCTTTTCCATTGCTTCTTCATGGCTTGTCTGTTGTGTCTGTGTTTATTCTGACTTGTAGCATGTAAGAAAATTACAAACCTCAAATTTATTAAGCTTGAAACTCTGGTGTCCCAGAAGCTTGACTTTCCCTCAATCCATAGATTTCCTAGTTGTGCCTAGTTTAACATGAAGCAAACGTTCATAGGTCCTTGCAATGATGAACTGTGATATTAATCACTTAGGACTTGTTTTGTGCAGCTGGCAGGCCTGAGCCGTGTCCGTAAAGCTGTCCCCAAATACACATATGTGTACTTTGGGAGGGCTGAGACTCAAACAGATTCGATTCTATACTGCAAAAGAGCTCATTTATTTAAGGAAAAGTATCAAGCCTGACTTGCCAACCTGGGGTAATGCTTGCTATGTGTTAGTGGGGCTTGTTTTGTTTTGTTTTGTTTTTTCCCTGCCTGGCGAACTGGAGAAACGAACAATAATCCAAATGTTCAGGGAATACGTTCAGGCATCCTGCCTACTGAAATGGCTTGAGGAGCTTGAGGGAAAGCTCCCACATTTAAGTTAATGAGGCTGCGAAGGGCCTGCAGTTCAAGAAATTCTTATAAAGTATCTATCAGCACTAATGCTTCACCAGTCAATTGATTTCTAGTTGTAAGAAACTGCACAGTTATGTGCCCGGGGAAATTTTACATGTTTGTCATACTCCAGTGAGATTCAGACTGTTACACCAAAAGTCCACAGGTATTTAAAAAAAACAGTTAGACTTCTTTTATTTCTGGGGTAAAAAGGGCCTGTAAAATTGTAATTACCTTTGAAGATACTGCATTGTCTAGCTTTGTTTTGCCTTTCATTTTGAAGCAAAAGGCTTGTATCTACCCAGCACAAATACCCACCGGTGGAAGACTGAACCATTTTCCTGTCTGCACAGGGACGCCGCAAAGTTACCCCAGATCCCCACAACCATACCCAAACCCTCTTGAACTGGGAAAGTCTGGGCCCATCCCTGTCTCAGAATCTTGGAGGAGCCCGAGTCCCATTGATTCATCCTTGCAGCAGCTTAAGGCAGTGCTTTTGATCTGATGTTCTCCTTGCAGAAGTCATGCCGTTTGAGGGAGCAGGCCCTTATATCAAATAGTCTTGACTCTGTCGCTTTTATTCGGGTAGAGCTCAAGAGCAACAGGTTTTTCTGCCAGACTGACCAGAAGGCAGCAGACAGCCTTTATTCATTAAGAGCAACTTAAGAAGTCTTAGTGTAGTCACCAAGAGCAAAATTTCAAGAGTGTGTTGATGGTTTAAGAGTTTGAGCTCTCTTAATATTCAGTAACACCTTCTACAAACCATTTCTGAAAATATATCGTAATATAGGTGCACACAGCAGCCCAGGCCTGGCTACATCCCCTGTAGACGGTCTGAATTCGGTTGAGTCCCAGGAACAGCCTAGCAGTTACCAAGGACTTCCCTACCAGCTGAAAGGAGACTTGTGTGGGGTGTTGGCGTGATGTTTTCGCTCTTAACTAGCGCATAAACCAGCTTGTCTTTGCGCCTGAGTTACCTGGTTACTTGTGGGAGCTTTTACTCAGGTAGCCACAGGAGGAGACAGGCTTCTCGCGGTCAGACTTCACGCAACAAGTATACGTGCTCCAAGGGCTTCACAGCAAAAATAGAGTTATTTGTGGTGCCCCAGAGCTGTTTTGCTGCTGTTGCATTATGCAAAAGGACTCCAGTAACCATTGTATGTCATTAAATTCTCTATCATGGTACACTCTCTTACATTACCATCCTCAGAACAATGAGAATAATTTAAATAACTGAGTTAAAATACTCCTACATGCTAAGGTTCTGCAGTTTCCTTATATCGACCAAGAAGGGTGTAATGAGATAATTGTGTTAATATGTTTGCAGCTTCTTATGAGTGCTGTAACTAAACCAGCTGTCTGCATTCTGGTCGATAAACATCTGTGCAGCATTTTAAGCTAAAACACAATTTTATTCTTCAGGAAAAGCTCCCTTTTCAATACGAGGTGTTCTTTCACTTTTAAGTGAACTTGGACATTTTGACTATTAAAGGCATTATCGTTCCGACCTCTCATATGTACAATTTTTATGTTACTTAAATGTTATTCATACCAGTAGTTGTTAAATTTGTCCAATTTAGCACAGAGCATTTACAGAATTGACACTAGAATTTGTAAATGTGAAGAAGAAGGGTAATACCTAACACAGGGACTTTGTTCTAAATGCAGATTGAACTGAAACAAGCAGCATTAAAAACACCTGGAGAAATTATTGGTGAGGAGATAGGTGCGTCCAGGACAGAGTTCTGTGATAGATTACATGCAGCTGTACATCTGAAAATGCTTTCTACAGAGGAAATCCTTTCAAAGAGTTCTTTTTCATTTTTAAAACAACTTTAAAATTTGTGCTAGAGAAATATTTCTTTGCCTCAAGTGTAACACTGCAGTGAAATGTTTCGTAATGCTCAGAATTCCCACTAGAGGGTGGGTAAGCCCCATGGCACGGGCAGCTTCACGCCTACTGAGGGCAAACGGGATCTTCCAGAGGGCCCAGAAAATGTTTGTATTTCTCTCAGTGCTGACACAGAAAGATAAAGGATGAGATCAGCCCCACACAGCGATGGCCCCACAAAAGGGCAGAGGTTTGGCCATGCTGCCCTGTGAAGTGTGGGGGATTTCTCAGCGAGAGTACGCGGGGAGGGAGGACATCCCATTGCGGCAGAGCGCACCGCTATGGCTTCACAGGATCCCTTTCTGCTTCCCTTGCTCTCAGGCTTTGCAGCAAAGTGCTTCAGATGTTTCTGTTCCGCTTGAAGGCCGTGCCCTGTCCTCCACCAGAGGGACATGGTTAGTGTGGGAGACAGATGTTTGCCGTCTGCTGCTGGCTGACATCAGGTCCCTTTGCTGAACTGGGGTACAGAGCGGGTTCCGAGGCACCTCACCTAACTCCACATTGTCACAGCTGAAACAAAACAGTCTCAAATTCTTCCCTATTGACAGCCAAATTTGGAGCTCTTACTTTGTTTTTGGTTTTATTCTTCTTTTTTAACCATCTACGCCACAAAGAGGTTTGGCTAAAAAAGTTGTTTTGCAGATTCGTGATGCATTAAAGGAAGGTAAATCCTCTGCCATCTTTGGTGACAGCGGTGCTCTTTGGTGTCGTCCACACCTTCTGCAGACAATGTTATCTCCACATCTCCATGGCAAAGGTCCCTCTAAAAGAGCTGGAGGTCTTTCTGCCGGAAGCAGAAACTGCTTTATCGCTGCCAGCTACTGAACACCTTGTCTTAAGGTCCATCTCCTTTGCTACGAGAATTTGCAGAAAGATAGAGGCAAAAATTGTTAGCACCACATGTTAGCAGGTAGTACCTACAGACTTTTAAAGAAGCTGGACATATCTTTAGCTGAGACCAGAATTTAGATAAATAAACTGCACCAAGCAGTTTGTTCCAAGTGCTTCATCTGCCAGGTACATTAAAGCCCAGAGATTTACGGGAGAACAGAAAGAATGGTGATGCGTTACATTGCAGGAGGTTTTCAGATTAGCTCCTTCATTAACAAATAGTTTGTATGTATTACAATGAAAATTTCTGGCATTATGGAAGGATTAGCTCCTGCTTTCCTCACTTGGGAAACAAGTGTAATATCACTTAAGCGGTTAGTGCTGAACCAGCTCAGAGGTGTTGCTCCAGCTATTCATAGTTGCATTGAAATGACTGTGCCTATGTCTTTTGATTGATATATATCCAAACTCAACTATAACCATGATTGACCTTTGGAGGGGTTAATATTTTATGTCAAAATTGGATATTTTTCTGCAATGTGTTGTTTTGCCCAGTTTTGCATGTGCTGATTATGTTTATTTGTTTGCTTGAGCTGGACACTAACTTTTCATGTGTTGCTTTTATTTCTAGAAACCACAGATTCCACAGAGATAGACACTGACAAGGAGAAATATATGCTAAATGACAGGGGTAAATAAATGCATACAGTGTCACCGGATGGAATGGCTTTTCAGATTATGATGCAATTTGTTTTATCATGTAATTTGCATTTCATGTAACAAATAGTTTGTTTTATGATGTCTTTACTGTCAGACATTAAGTGGAATTAATGGAGCTGAGCTGCTGTTGAGGAAACCAGTGCCAGGAAGTACAAAAGATTGTAGAGTTTTATCAATATTTACAGTAGTATTTTTACTTACACTGTTGTAGCAACACTCTTCATTTCCTATGATTTCTTCAATGCTGAATAGTAAGGTCTATTTAGCTGCTGTTGATGTCATTTTGCATAAGGCCATCAATAATTTTTTATATAACTTTCAAAAGTTTTCAGCTTTTTTAAGCTTTCAATTTAAGTACAAGTCATTTGAAAACAAAGCCAGAAAGGAGGATGAGCAAGGGTGAACTTAAATATATTTTCCTTAGGAAAACATGTTATTTTTTTTCCCCTTCCTCTGTTCAATGCAGAGATTATGGAGGCAAACATTTTATTCACTGAAAGATATTTGAATCTGGAATTGAAGATATGAAAGAAAGCTGAATATTTTTCAAAAAGTATAATGAGCTATTTTATCATTAAAGTTTATTTGATATTTTATTTAAAATTTTCAATACAATTCTGAGAGAATAAAAGCAGCTTCTATGAGCTATGACTTTTTTGGCAGTTTTTCCCTGTTTGACAGTTTTGTCCTTGCTCTGTTGCTCTCTGTCCACGTCGTTGGCCGTGTGGTCAGCTCCACTCCATTAGCCTGAAGCTCATTTGTCCTTAAATTGACAGGGGCATTTTAATAGTAACTATACTCATAGTGAAGTAGTAAATACAAATAGAATATTAGACAATAAAGAAGCAGATATAAATCTTTATGAGCTTTTGTCTGCGGATGAGTATTAATCAGAAAGGTTTTACTGAGCATCAGCGTTAAACTGCATGTAATTCCGGGCAGGCACATGGAGGAAACACTCCCAGTGGGAGGTTTGGGTTTAGGGGTGTGTGGGGCTGTGATTTCAGCTTCCAGTAGAACTGGGAACAGGAAGAAGAGTATTTGCTTTTGTCATGAAAGCAGAATTTGTGGAACATCCGTGGGGAAAAAAAGAAAAGCCTGAAAGTCTGCTTCTAAGGGACTGCAGTCTCATGTGATGTGCTCTAACCCACAGGCAGTGCTTTGGCCCGGGGGGGCTGTTTGTGGAGTAAAATGCTGCACTGTGTGGTGAGGTCCCAGTAGTCTGGTTAGTATTTTGTTGTAGTGTCTGAAGTTTTGCACAAAGTTTTTAGAGTAAGAAAACATCTAAGGAAGTTTTCACTTCAGTTTAATAGATGAACAGAGGTGAACAGTGAATGGTGTCAAAGCGACTGTAGTAAAAATTGATTACAGTAGAGTAAATGTGCTTCATAGTACATTAGCTACAGAACATACATAATTGTGAAGGTGTTAGCTTCATTTGGATACACTTAATTATGCATATTAATAGCAATTGATTTTTTATGAACTGAGCTAAACTTCCACTGTTCTGTTCTGTCTTAACATTTTTTCTTTTTTCCTTTTCTTTAGGCCCGGTGTTTTTCCTCACTTGTTTTAGCGTTGCTGCAGGATTTGCGTTATTTTGGTATTGCTGGAACTCAGGTAATCGACTCCCCTGGTTTTTCTCTCCACTGCCTCCCGTTAGTACGTGTCGGGAGAGCAGTGCACCACTTGATCTAACATGGCTTGCTTAATAGTGCGGGTCAAGGTGTGATCATTCATTAATGAGGTTAGGATACAAATGGCGCTCCAGATATGCAGAGATATAAATAATGGATAGTTTGCCTACAGAGGATGCCACAAATAGGGGCTTTTTGTAAAGACAGTAGCCATGTGAGCTCCGGTTGCTATAGCGATGGGTCATGGTTCCCAGCAGTCATGAGGCAGGAAAACACCCCAACCTTCTGGCTTCCACATCCCCTGGAAGCTGGTCGGAGCGTGGCCAGTGCCAGAGGACGCCGGCTGGATGTGCTGAGCCCGAGCGGCTGCAGCCGTTGCCCGTGCTGCTGGCTCATGGTGTGAGCTGTGGCTGGAAGGTGCCTGCTTCAGCAGCAGAGCAGGGCTCCTCTTCCTCTCCACAGCCCGACCTTCCACTAATCCAGCCTTGCCGTCAGAGCGGCAGCTCTTCACAGAAGGTGTGTTGATGCATCCCCATGGTTCTGCTCCAGCGAAGCAGTGAGTCAGTGCTGGTGGGAGAGACCCAGGGGAGGAAGATTCAGCTGATTCAGAGGCATCACTCGCTCTCGAGTCTTCACACAGTGCTGTGGGAAGTGCATGTCTTTATGTGGTAGATGGGGAGCAGAATCCAAGCTCCATTTTGGCTTACTGCCTTCTGCTCCTCATGCCCCAGTCACAGCAGTTGCAGTTGGACATTCTTTACTAATTTTTTTCCAGAGCTGTGGGCTACAGTAGCACCAGTTTCAGGTGATGTGGGAGTCTGGGCTGTGTTACCCTTCATTCTCAGATCAGAGTCCTTCAGCTGGACTGTCCATAGAGTCAGGTTAAGGCTAAAAGGCTAACCCATGCGTTTCCTTAGCTACCATCACTTCCCTTCATTGGGTTCTGTCACCAGCATTTAACAGAAGCATTCTCAGAAAAGCATTCAGGGACTGATACCATAAAGCTAGAGAATCCCTCAGTTCCCTTGATCCCAGTTAACTAGCCATAGCATTAGTATGACAGAATTGTAGGATCATAGAATTGCTGAGGTTGGAAGGGACCTTTCGGATCATCAAGTCCAACCATCAACCGAACACTGACAAAAACCACCACTGACCCATGTCCCTCAGCACCATGTTTGCCCAGCTTTTAGATACCTCCAGGGATGGCGACTCCACCACTGCCCTGGGCAGCCTCTTCCAAGCCTTGATGACCCTTTCAGTGTAAAAATTTTTCCTAATATCCATCATAAACCTTCCCTGGTGCAACTTGAGGCTGTTTCCTCTTGTCCCATTGCCCATTCCTTGGGAGAAGAGACCGACCCCCCCTGACTACACCCTCCTTTCAGGGAGTTGGAGAGAGCGAGAAGGTCTCCCCTCAGGCTGAACACCCCCAGCCGCTTCTCACAAGACTTGTGCTCCAGACCCCTCACCAGTTCCATTGCCTTTCTCTGGGCACACTCCAGCCCCTCAAGGTCTTTCCTGTCGTGATGTGCTTTCTAGAAGTGTGTCTTACTCTCAAATGGAACTGATTTCAGCTCCAGCCTGGCATTTCTGTTAAGCCTTTCTCCACCAGACTGCAGACCCCTTTGGTTCTGTGCCAGCTGACATTTCCTATTTTCTCCCTGTGGAGGTCCTTGTGCCTCCAGTAATTTCTCAGTCTTTATTTTGCTAAAATTTCCAACCAAAGCTCTCCAAGTCTTTTCTTCTGAGGTTCTTTTTTTCCAGTTTTTGATGCTCTTTCCTGTACCTACACGGTGTCTCAGTGTGCCATGTGCCCTGGCTGTGGTGCCCTAGGCTTACATCCCCCGGTGCTGTGCTCAGGTGTAAAGCTGCCCGTTACCTAACTCAGTAACTGTCTCCTCTGCCTGGGTCTGAAATTGCAGCGATTAATCCCAACAGATTCATCGTTACCCTGTCTTGGCAGTTGATGTATACAAGACTGAAGGAAATGGGCTTTCCTCTGGAGTAATTTTTTAATTGATTTTTATTTTTTGTAGGTGCTGCTTACTAGCTAGAATGAAACGTCACTGTGTTCACTTTCTCTTTTTCCTCCCATTTTCATTTCTGTTTTAGATATGAAAGTCACAGGAAGAGCCAGGAGAATCTTGGGCTTTTCTCCTATTATCATAGGAAGACACGTTAGAAATATTTGTATGTTGTATTTGGAAGACTTATCAAGAAATTAAGGAAAGCTGCCTCGTCACTCTTGTCTGTACAGTATACCTGCCAAGGGAAGACAACGGTGCATGAATATTAATGTACTATACGCTCATACCAAAGATTTTATTAACTAGCTTCATCAATAGTTGTGTTGCCTCAAGATGTATTCAGAATTTCAGCTATATATGTCCTTCCTTATGGGAATGGACCATTTATTTTTGTAAATGCTTATTTTAAAATATTTATCATTTGGATAAAAAATATTTTTAATACAAACTTTAAAATTATATCCTAAGTGATCATGGGTCTTAAGCCATGTTTGCCTATGTGTTTTATACTAGAATGAAGGATCACAACTGTTTAAAGAATGCTAGCCTGTCTTTTGTTAATTAATTTAAGAAAAGCACTTAAAAAATTACACGCACTCGAAGCCTTACCAAGAAATGGATCTCCCATCTCAGGACTGTCTGTTTTGTCTAGATCCTTTGTACTTGCTGCCTGAGCTCAGGTGGGCACTGGTGTCTCTGACACGTATCGGTGCCGGTTGCCTTTGTGTGTGCCTGGCACTTGCCGTGTTTTCTCCTCTTCTGTCCGTGCCTCATCCCAGCCTACCTCCTTCACCTTCACCCTCGGCTGGTGGCCGTGGTTTGGATGCGCTGGAGCTGGTGCAACTGGTTCCCAGCCCGCAGAGGGTCCCAGGGACTGGAATGTCGGACCTGAAGCACTTCAAACTGCCAAGAAAATTTTTCAAATTTATTTAGCTTTTTCTTTTCCAGTGAAGCATTTTGCAGTCTAAATAACTGAAGTAATCCAGGGTACTTTGCAGGGTCTTAAATGCCGCGACATGGGGCTTTTTTTATGGCCAACAATATGTATACTTAGTTGAAGAGCCTGAGGTTGTTCGTAATGACATTTGATGATGTTATGTTTTCCTTCTGTGAGTTGAAACCTGAAAAACTTGCATAAGCCATTGTAAGACTGAAAATCTTGAGGGAGATGCAGGCAGGCAGGGCTGCAGGTGAGGCAGCCAGGATTTCTCCGCGTGCTCCTGCCTGGCTCGGTGCAGATGGCTTTTCCTCCCCCAGGTGGGAGGTGCAGGAGTTCGGCACTGGCTGCGAGAAGTGACATTTTCAGTGGATAGTTCTTCAATTACACGTTCAGGAGCGTAAGGAGCTTGGGGAGATCATGTCCCTGCACTTGGTGAGAAAGACGCTTTGTGGCTCTTCATTCACTGGCTGAACAAAGAGATTCCCAGATCGGCTCAAATGTCACCCGAATAAAAGCTGCAGTGACATCACAAGTTGCCATGCACTGGAGGATCCCGTGCAAGATTTTCAGGGATTTGGAGTGGTTTTCTCAAAACAGTCAGACTGAAAACTGTCTTCCAGCTTTAAACATCATTTGTGCTATAAAAATGTCATCTTCTCCAGAGCAAGTCATCTTGTAAGAGCTGTATTTCCTTCCAGGACAACACTCACCTGATACAGTATCAAGTCCAGAGGAGGAATTGGGTGCAGGGCCAAATTTACAAGTAAAAGACCCAAAGAGTGTTTGCAGGAAATATATTGAGAGATGAAAAAGGGCTCAGAAGACCCTGACTTTACTGTTCTGATAAATGTTTTGACCTATGGCACTGGAGTGCAGTTGGGACGCGAGCCAGCCCCACGCAGAGCTCACCTGGTTGCTGCCCTGTAAAACCTGGACTGAGACAAATGCCACACGAACATCGTGACACCCAGCAGAGCAGATTATTTAGGCTTCTTTTCCCCTATCTCTGCCCCACCGGCCCTTGCGTCTCTTTGATCTGATCTCCATGGGGGCTCTTATTGGGGAGAAAAGGTGATGGAGCAGAGCACGCTTCCTGCAGAATGGGCTAACCACGAAGTCTGCTGCCCTTGGGACCCCGCCAGCTGCTCTTGTGCTGCCTTCCAACTTGGCAAGGGCTTTAATTATAGTCTGTTGTTTTCTCTCTGCATTGCCTTGTGTTTAACGTGACAACAGGTTGTTTTTTTCCTCCAGCAAACCAGCTCTAAATTACAACATTTGAAATGAAATGTCCCTTTCCTCTCTGCTGCTGAAGTCCTGTAGCAGCTCTTTTTTAAGGGACTAGAAAAAATACCTCTGAAATCTAAAAAGGTTTTAAATTTTTGCCTTGAAGCCAATTTTGAAACCTCATTAGAGGAAGGCTATTGCATTTTACACAAAAAAGAAACGGTATTCAAAGTAATCGCAACAGTCACATCTCATTTTAAAGCAGAAACGGAGGCCTTACCACTGCCAGGCAGATTCTTCCTGTTTAGATTATCCACCGTGTTGCCCTCGGAATAACAGGTTGCAACTTATTGTGAGCTTTTACTGAAACCTACAGATGTTATCAGTGCCTTATTTAGTGTGAAGGTGAGAATCTGCAGGTTCAAGGATGCCTTGGGGTGCCAGGAGCCCTCTCGGGTCCATAAACCTGTCCAGGACCACTCTGGCTGTGCAGCAGGACATGGTCGTCCCCGTTCCTCAAACTGAGTGGCTTTCTTGAGCCTTGAAAACTATATGGAACAGGAAAGTTTACTGAAGGCTATGGATCTGTTTCTTCCCTTTCTGAGGTTGTTTGAGATGAGGATGCCTCTCAGGGAAAAAAACAAAAACAAAAATCCAGGGTGAGCTATTTCCAGGGTTAGGGCTGGGAGCAGAGAGGAAAAATGGGTCTTGGTTCATCCCAGTGTTGTTAAAGAACTTGACAGCAAAGAATAGAAAATGATCTGTTTCTTTATTAGTGTGGCTAGCTATAACATTGGCACGGACATAGTTTGGGAGACATTCTTTTCCTTGGAAGATTTTTATTTCAGGAGCAAATACCAAGGTTTAATGCACTTCACCACAAGCAGCACATGCCAAGAACAGGTGAAGTGACAATTCCATGTCGAGTTCCTGGTGGAAGCCCATATGTACCTGCGTGGGAGTGGGGTCCTTCTGGGCAGGCAGTGCTATTTACTGGGAAATAAATCAAGCAGGGTCATGGCTGAGCCTGTGTAGCTGCAGAATTCCAGCTTCACTGTCAAGTCGAGATTAGCTTGGCATTTGCTGCTGAAACTCTACTGGTATTTAGGAACGTGCTTTACTTTATGTGCAGGGAAGTTGTCCTGGCTGTGGAAATGCAGTAGGTGGTGACACGTGCAGGGGATAGAGGCTGTTCTTGTGAGTGCCGTGGTTCTCATGCTGCAGAGAGGAGGTGTACTAATAAAAAGCAGCCATGGTTTCACCATGCCCTCTCTCACCTTGTGCCAGTCTCGTGGAAGGAGTCAGACGTGTGCTTTTCCCTCAGTGCATGAGCAGGTTGTGCCTTCAGTGCACCGAGGGTGAGGGTGTGTGGGTGCGTGATGCTCTGCAGGGTGCTGACCTGGCTCCTGGGAAGGGGATGCACAAGGAGAAGCTGGGAGTGGGCAGGTTATTGGGCAGGGGGCTCCTCTGCCAGCTGAGCCCGTGCTCTGCCGCCGCCGCCTCCCGCCAGGGACGGTTCTCATCCTCCTTGCTGCACTGCCCCTTGTGCCCGAGTCCCGAGGGGAGGAACGGGGATGGGCTCCATGCTCTTCACCCTGGAGGCCTGATACCTAGCCAAAAATTATCTTTCTTCCCTGTTTTGTTGTTTTTTTTTTTTTTCTTGTGAACAGGCGTTTTGCTTTAAAGTAATGCTGAAACCACCTCCGAGTGCCTTGGTGGGGGGGTCGGGGCTGGGTGAAGGGCAGGAGCCGGGCGTGTGGGAAGCCTGAGCGGAGCTGGGTGAGCCACCCAAAGAGTTAATGCAGAGAGCACGGGGAGCCCAAGTGACAGAGCGTACCATGAATTTGCACAATTCCATTTAAAGACAGCCTGCTATTTAAAGTACTTCAGTGAAGTATGATGTGCCTGCGAGCCAGGGCTGGAATAAAGTGATGATTCATTCGGGGACATCCTGGGCTACTGCGTAGCTGCTGGCTGGAGCCTTGCAAAGCTGCTGAGGCAAAGTTACTCTCTTTGTTTCTTTCACTTGTGATTATTTTTTTTCTCCTACTGTAATAAATTGGAAACACATTTTGTCAAAATTTGCAGTTCTGGATGCTTTTCACTGCTGTCTGTATGCACAAATGTTATCACAGGGAGATGCCATGCCTTAGCTGCGTTGTCGTCTTGAAGTCTGTAGAAATCAATGGCTTTTTTTTTTTTTTTTTTTTAATGGGGTGAGGCTGACAATTACATTGAAATAAAATCTGTACCGAGAAAAAAAAACGCTGCTGTTTTTCTTGTATTTAATGCTTTGCACTTCCCTCCAGAAGAGCCCTCACCACGTTGCCCTCCCGTGGCTGATGTTGGCCGATGGACTCCTTCCTGGTCTCTGCTCTGTGATGATTACATTTTTGGTTGGGGTATTTGTGGCAAGATTTTTAACGTTTTCATCTGCTTTCAAAATTATTTGCAGTTTTTCTGCTTGACTTGTATAGTGATCTGAAGTTAAACATCGGTGTAAGGTCCAAGTGTCTTTTGGTTAAGCCTTAACTTTGTGTCCTTTTGGTAATCCAGTGACTCATTGCCTGTCAAGACTTGCACGGAGGCCTCCCTCTTGGTATAAAGGGACGGACTTTGACACAAGATTGATTTTAAAGATTATTTTGACCACCCAAAATGGAACTTCATGGAAAAAGAATTTGTAACCAGCATGTTCTTTTGGGTAAAGGATGAATGGGGGATCTGCTCACCCAGGTGCAACTCTTGGCTGTGTTAAGAATCCTACCAAAGCAACATGTTGCTGCAGCAGGAGAAGCTTCAGGAGAAATTGCTGACCCACAGCCTGGATTGCACCCCCTGCTGCAGGACTTCCATAGAGCCACAGAATGATTTGGGCTGGAAGGGACCTTAAAAGGCAGGGACACCTCCCACCAGACCAGGTTGCTCCAAGCCCCCTCCAACCTGCCCTTGAACCCCTCCAGGGATGGGGCAGCCACAGCTTCTCGGGGCAACCTGGGCCAGGCTCTCACCACCCTCACACCAAAGAAGTTCTCCCTGAGATCTCACCTACATTTCCCCTTGCCAGAGCTGGAGGCAGCACCACAGTGTTGTCTCCCCAGAGCAGAGCAGGGGGGGCAGAATCCCCCCCTCCCTCACCCTGCTGGCCACGCTGCTGGGGATGCAGCCCAGGATGCAGGGGGTTTCTGGGCTGCCAGTGCACGTTGCTGGCTTGTGTTGAGGTTCTCATCCAACAATCATTCCTTCTCCTCAGTCCTTCTCCTCAGGGCTGCTCCCCATCCATTCTCCACACAGCCTGTTTTTGTGCCTGGGGTTGCCCTGACCCATGTTCAGAACCTTGCACTTGGCCCAGTTGAACTTCATGGGGTTAGCACGGGCCCACCTCTCAAGCTTGTCCAGGTCACTCTGAATGGCATCTCTTCCTCCCAGAGTGTCGACTGCACTACACAGCTTGGTCATTGGCAAACTTGCTGAGGGTGCACTCAGTCCAACTGTCCATGTCACCGACAAAGATGTTAAATAGCACTGGTCGCAGTACCAACCCCTGAGGAACACCACTCATCACTGATCTACACTTGGACATTGAGCCATTGACCACAACAATTTGAGTGCAGCCAACCAGCGAATTCCTTATCCACTGAGTGGTCCATCCGTCACATCCCTGTCTTGGAAGCCCATGGTTTCAAGGGCAAATCATGCCTGACAAATTTGATGGCCTTTTATGATACTGCCACAGACTTGGTGGACAAGGGCAGAGCAACAGATGTCATCTACCTGGACTTACGCAAAGTGATTGACACTGTCCCGCACGACATCCTGGTCTCAAAATTGGAAAGTAATGGGTTCTATTATTCTATGATTCTGTGACTCTATGTCTCTCCAATTTAGAGACAAGGGTGTCCATTTGGGACAGTATCAAAGGCTTTACACAAGTCCAGGCAGATGATGTCAGTTGCTCTTCCCTTCTCCACCAACGCTGTAACCCTGCTAAAAAGAAGGTGGGTTGTCAGTGTCAATGGAGGATCTTGTTGAGGTGACTTGGTTAGCAAGAGGGATCCTCGTCATCCTTTGCCCTCCCTTGCAGTGTCTCTGTCTCATGAGCTGGAACAGGAGTCTCTCCCTTTCCTGCTTACTGACATGTGGCTCTCCGGGGGACGAGGGAGAAGAATGGCTTTATTACCAGGAGGACATGCTTGGGTCTCTGCTGGGTAGGCATTTGGTGCCCAACACTCTGCCAGTGAAGTGTTGTGCCTGGTGCCAGGAGAAGGGACCTGTGCTTTTCTGCATGGATGTCACTACGGTTTTGATGTGATTGAAAGAACAACTTGGTGAAGCTACAAAATTGTAGGGTTTGGGGGAGGGGGTAATTTTCATTATAGCCACAACTTGTCTGCTTTACAGGGACATTATTAATGCCAAATGGAAAAGAAAGCCATGGCTGGAGATGAGATGGATTTGCAGCAGCACGGGTATGCAGCAGCATCGCTCTGTTTAACTCACCGCAGCTGCTTTGGCATAAAAGAGCATTTTGGGTGAATCCTGACCTGCCCTTTCTATTTTGGAGCACAGGCCACTATACACTGCAGTCGCACGGAAAAGCTTTCTGCCATGCTGCTGTTGATAAATCTTTAATAAAATTGTGCCTAGTAAAGCAAAAACCTTTCAGACTTGGTCTGTGCTTCATGAACTGGTAACAGGGGATGTCAGATGCTGGCAGCTGGAGTGCCACGGCACCTGAAGCCTCAATAAATAACTGGCGAGGTGTGTCCTCATGGCACAATCTGTATCAAGTCCTCTCTTCCCAGTAGCAAAATATTTCATGACACTCAGGTTATTTTTGTTCCTTTTCTTTTAAGCCCCTGTTTTAGCTGCCCTGGAGGTTTTGCAGCACCCAACCTTGCAGGCCCTGCCCCGAGGATGCTCTGTGCCATCCCAAGGCTCTCACAGCACCAACACCAGCCTGGGAGGGAAAGGCTGCCCAGTGCTGGCAGCTGCCTCCCTGCGGAGTGCCCCAGCCCTGCGCTGACAGACAGGGAGAGAGCTAAGGTTATTTATCATCTGTTTGCACAGAGCGAATTAATTTAAAAATCTCCTATCAAAGGTTGAAAAGAGGATCCTGTGCCTTTTAAATATTCCTGATCTGTAGCGGTGGGGGACAGCTGGGTTACGCTTCTCCTCTCTCTGTGGAGGAAAAAAGCCCACCCAGTGAGACTGAGATGTCCAAATCTCCCTGGGGCCAAGGAGCACACTGGAAATCTTTGGAAGAGGTGCGTTACCCTGCTCCCATGGGTGCCTGCTCCCAGCTCAGCCCTTGGTCCCTCACTGTGACTGTGTGCTCCCCCTCCCTGGGCACCAGCCTGACCTTAATCTCCTGTAACTCTGCCCCAGTGACACCCACCTGTGGTGGTCTCCATGGGTGCATCTCGTTGTGATGGCTGCACCCGGCTCAGCGTGGTTTGGGGGAGACAGATACCAACACAAGAGCCAAGGGCTGACTTGAGCAATGTTGGCGCTGTGGTTGCTGTGCAAATATGACTGTAGGTCAATCATCTCACCCTCATCAATAGTGGACAGCCCAAGAGCCCTTGGAGCTCTCCTGCAGGGCAGCAGCCTGGATGCCCGCGTCTCCTCTTGAGCAGGGACACCTGCTAAGGTTACTCCTCAGGGTTGAGAGATTCCTTGCCACAACAGATCCTCAGTAAGTGACTAATAGCATGCTAAACTTTGACATCTTAGCTAAGTGATATAAAGGATGGATTGCACAGATACAATCCTTTAGACACAAACTGTTGACCAAGCCTGGAACAAGGATTGGATCCAGCCACACCCAGACTCCTCCCTGCGAAGGAGTTTAGAGAGCAG